TTTCTGTGTTGGTATTGTTCCCAGTGAGATTTCTTTTTTTTTTTTTCATTTTATTTACAAGAAGGAGGATAACCCAGAATATCAACCTTATTACAGAGCAGCTTCAAAGACATGATTATATTGTAAGAAATGTAATTAGTCTTATCGATAAGACAATAACAACAAGCATGCTGAATGAATGATGGAAGATGTAATACTCGGGGCTAAATTTTGAAAAGCATTAACTGTCGTCACTAAATAGGACGGAGTTTTTTTCATGCATGACAGAAAATCTGGCCATAGTTATTTCTTGCAAGTACAGTGCAAAAATGCAAAACAGCTCCTTTCTGGCAGAGAGAAAATACAAAAACACTAAGTCCATCAAGCACATCAAGAACCACAGGACCAAACAAAGAGGAAGTAGCATCTGACTAATGCAAAACAATGCATTCACTTGAAAAGTGTTTACTATAAATCTTACACATTTCTATTTGAACAGCTGTCAACTTAATTTGTCAGAATAATTAGATAAGATAATTGCTATTTAATTCAGTTTGAGTAAATGATTCCAAAAGGCACACAATACAGAAAACAATCATATTATACTACACATAGAGATGTGATACTTATTTTTGCTTTATTAAAAAGTTTAGATGTAAATAAAGTCATTCATTATAGTTTGTTTGTGAAATGCTCAGGAAGTTGGCCTAAAACCTGCCAAAAATATCCAAAAAAGAGACATCGTAACAATAGCAGATCTCTTTTTGGTGCTAAATAGAATATTTTTTATAAAGATTCTATATAGACCCATATACAACACATTCTCCATCAATCTAAAGAACATTTTCGCCATACGAAAGAACCATTTAAGTATGCAAAGGGTTCTTTGAGTGTTCATGGTCCTATATAGAGCCACTGTCTTTACTAAAGAACCAAAGAACCATCTTTGTAAAGAGTATACAAGGACTCAAGACACATGTAGGTCCACTAGTCATTTTGGACAGCAAATTAAAGGGCTAATTTAGCATTGTAAACATGTTTCTTGGTAAACATTACGACCCCTGGTTCCTATCACCACCACTGTAAAGAAGTCTAATTATACAGATATGCAGAAAAATAAGTACAATTTCCCTTTAAGACTTTTTCAGACTTGGACTGAGGTTGACTTGTGTCTGTAAAAGTAGCAGAAGGTGTTTCATCCTAGTACTAACCTCCAGAACAGAAAAAAAAAACATCCCCAGAGAGTTGAGCAGAGCGCAGCCCAAACTCTAAGAGAGGAACTGATAAAAATGCAGAATCTACTTCACACAATGCAGCACTTTCACTAACAATGCATTCAGAGGTACAGCTGAGCAACTTCCCCCTTAGAAATGGTCAAATTAGAATAAACCATAAGCGATAAGGCTAAAATCACGCAGGGAGAAGTTTTATGATCTGCTGGTCCATTTTGGCTCTGGGCTGAGGTGTCTCAGAGTGAAAAACGAAAAAGCTAACAGCAGGGAAACTTTAATAGCACATTACTGCTAAGATTCCTCTGTGCAAGTCTCCTTGTAAGCTGACCAATATGCAGTAAAAATAGCACAGTGAATTCCGCAACTAAAATGCAGCTATTCCTTTCATAAGCATGACCTTTTTGTGTTTAACTAAACAATCCACAGGATTAAAGTTTGGAATTATAATGAATTATACACTAAAGAGGTATAAGACAATACATCAAATGCGACTAGACATTTTAAAGGATTAGGAATTGCTGTTGATGCCGCCTCTAATTTGGGGTCAAGTGCTTGGGGTCAGTCCTAATCTTGCAGCTGGTATTACAATGCATCCATGACAACAGGATACACAAGCAATGAGATATTTCTTTTTTATGTGCTCTTGCCAAAGGAAAGCCTAAAAAGAGAAAAGTGAAAGCTGACCATTATTTGATATGTGTTTTAATGCACAATGTAAATGCATGAGAGGTAACTGATACAGATCTAATCATATAACTTCATGCGCAAATACTTACTATTTCATCCAAGAACCCTTTCACAACTCTAACTCTGTCTACAAGATAATATTGCTATGAGCTGTGAAACAGCAGACTGCGTGTCTTACACAAGGGAGGTAAAAGATGCAGTGTGCTGTTGGGGTCAGAACAGGGGGACTTTAGAGCAGATGGTCCTACACAAGAAGGCAAAATAGCACACTGTCCCGTCCCATAGGGCACTCTTTTCATCTACCACATAGATGTCATACAGGGGCCTTCAAGGCTGTTTCTGGCTATAAGCGGTTCAAGTAGTCGCTTAGGGCCCCCAAGCCACCAGAGGCCACCCTGAATATACTTTTTACATTTTATTTATAGCTCTAAATTTATTTTTAAAAAACAACATATTGCAGAGATTCTTACTTGTCCTAGACAAAGTAAATTAAGAGCTATTTTTAGTGGACCCCTTAAGTATGATGTTGCTTAATTAGGGCCCCCAAATGTTCTGAAAGGGTCCTAGGAGCCTTGTACTCTCTGCAATAACACCAAAATCCTTACTGAAAGTCATTCGGAGCTATGATGAAGTATCTGGTCTTAAAAATATACAAGAAAAGGCAACATGAACACTGCTAACTTAGCTGTTAGTGTTAATGCTGAGAAACGGGGAGAAAAGGTTAAGAGCGCTGCCCCGCTGCGGGCAGCTAACGGGGAAACTGCACCGCAGATCCAGCGTGCACTTCGCGCATGGACCTCATGTCTAGGACTTTTAGGCCAGCTAGCTCAATACATCTTACAGACCTGAATCAATCTGTTCAAACGTGCAAAGTTTCCCGCACAAAACACGCTTTCAGGCTAACGCACAACGACATAGAGCGAGCTGGTTTAGCCTAAACCGTTAGTGCATGAAGAAGTGGGCCAGATCGCAGTGCTGTCATTGTCTGGATGCGTGGCTATGTGGCAGTGTGCCTCCCAAAAAGACCCCCGTCCCACTGCCAGACAGACAATGTGCTCTGAATGAAACACCGAGCCGAAAAATCTCCAGCCTGACCCTTTTACGTGTAACAGCTAGTCGTGGACGTACCTCTCGAACACGAGTCGGATCATGAAGACGCAGAAGGCTAAAGGACATGCCAGATACAGATCCTCCGCTTGCGGGAAGGTTGACTCATCCGTGTTTTTTAAGTCAGCCCAGGTTACATTGTGAGGCAGCCAAAACCTCTCGTTCCAAAACCACGCCAAAATGCCGGCCATCGCCCCAGATTCCTGCCTCCGATCCTCACGTCTCTGCTGAAGCCTCTGATAAACTGGACTCAATGGCCGAAGCTCGCTTACAGTCGTCTTTTACGATTGATCTTTGCAGCTCCTGGAGGATGATGGTGATGGTGATGGCATCAGTTTTAGCTCCGCCCCTTTGTAGTTTATTTCTCTCCTGCGTTCTTCAGCGTGGAGTGACGCTATCGGCTTCTCCGCCGCTGATTGGTGGAGACTCTTGTCCCCCCTCCCACCGCTTAAAGGTGCCCCACCGATGGGATGGAAACGTGGTAGTGTCGCTGTTTTCAGTCTATCATTAAACAAAACCATGTTATGATTCCTAAAACCGTAATCCATTAAACCACTATAACTATATACAAATTGCAGTCCTTTGCCTGATTTGATAGTCACCGAATAGGGACATCGAGGGTGCTAAGGCTTTATGGTAATTACTTACATTTATTTAGAACGTTTTATAACATTTTACAATTTATTACTAATTACAGAAAACCAACATCATATTATAACCCTATATGAATACAGGTATCTCTAAATTGTTTGAGCCACGTGCATTTTCTTCTTGGTAAATGGCGCCACCTACTGGACATACTAGACAGAAGAAACTCAGTTTCATATTTCAGTTTACCACTAAAGTGCAGGTCAGCTGCGTCCATCTTATCCCTTAGGTGTAGCAAATGTGTGACCTTTAAATCATAAATCATCTATTCGCGTAAAAGCATATAACTCATGTATATAAATGCTTATATCTAGGTTGCTCTGTTACCCACATTTGCGTCTCATATTTCCTAGCTTCTTCATGATCTGAGCTAGATGTGGTAAAGCGTGCAGTGCAAGAAGCGCTCAAGACTGGGAGGAATCTGCGTTCGGCTAAATGTCGCCCTCTGCTGGACGAAGGGTGTTCATGTGCGTTATGCCGCGTTCAAGTCATTTCAGAATTCATGGATGTCCGTCAATAAGCCGTTATCTTTCTCCGTGTGTAGTTCCCTTTGTCCATACACCGCATGTTTTAGCGTTTACCCTCATGTACCATACCGTATTCAACCCAAGAGCTTAACTTTTTTTAATCAGGGTAAAAATGCAGAGTATACTGTCTCCAGCTCTGAAATTGGGAACTACTGTGTTAAATAACAGAGTCATAAACTCTGGAAGGACAAAACACAATTCAAGGAGTCTAGGCTGGTTCTCATCTTGAACTTAAGACATGACTTTCAATTATTATTTCATAATTAACAGCACTATATGGTTTAGCTTAAGAGATCACATTTGTATGTAAAAAATATCATTTAATGTGTAATAAAATTACCATTGACTGTAAAATGTAAAATACTCCCCTAAAAAGATATGCAACCAGAATTTTATGATACAACACAGTTATGGGTTATAGAGCGATGTCAGTCTGTTTTAGCGAGTAAAGGCTGTCACAATGTCAGTTAAAACTGGAACATTTGTAAACACTAAATAAGCCAATATTTCAGGGCCTCATATTCTGCAGATCGTTGTTCCATGTCACATCTTCGGTTAAAGGTGCAAATGAATAATTCTTTAAAAAAAAAAACAACAAAAAACAAAAACAAACTCGCTAATTTATATTAGATTATATTTCACTGGATGCCGCTCAATCCTGTATATTAATTACACTAAAGAACTCCGAGGATCCACAAATCAGTTCCCTCAATGCTTTAACGAGTGAAGACGTTAAGGTGTTCACTCTAACGTTCAGCCAGTGACAGTTAGTTCCACTCGAGATAGAAAGGAAATAGCTTAAACTTCCTCTTCAAAAAAATTCGCGCATCCGTCTCATTCTCCCTGAATAACTTTTCTAACGGGGTAAGCTGAAGAGGAAGCCCTAAAACAGATGTTTAGGCTGTATTTGCTGAGCAGTTTGGTGTCTGGGCGGTTCTCCTGCCGTTTCTCTAGCGGGCAGTAACCCTCCCCGGCGGTGTACAGAAGCTGAGGCTGAAGCTGCTGCTGTGTGGAGGTGAAAGTGCCAATAAACGGAGCTCCGCGCCGTTAGCCTAGCATAGCAGCCCAACCGCAGCATCATGGCGGAGCAAGGCGAGTCTCCGGCTCCCGGCCAGAATCCGCAACCAGTGCTCACAACCAGCTGGCCGATTGTCAAGGAGGCGTACGAGCTGCAGGAGGTTATAGGTGGGTAAGGACGGCTTTAGTTACATTGTGAGCTGCGGTAGTGACGGTTCCGCTACTTGTGGGGCTGGTGGGTTGAATGGCGAAGCGGGCCTACCGGCTTTTTCATGCGCTAGCGTTACAGCTCCGGTGAAGCAGCCTGTTCACTAATGCAATGCGGATGTGACAGACCGTCAACGCTGAATTTGACCACTGGCTACAGCACAAGAGATTCCGCTTTAGACTTTAGGCAAATCCGTATGGAAATCTTGTTCTTGGGCATCGTTTTGAAACAGTGTGATAGATTGCCAGTGCTGCTTTCTAATGGCACGTGTCCAGTAAGATGTCAGACATTTATTAATGGCATGTAGTCTGTCTGGATCTGGATCCATGAAAGCACATCACAGGTAAAGTCTGCTTCAGGTCCTTGATGATGACATGTCTTAGTCACTTTTGCAGGCATTTAAGATTCCTAGAAAATAGTGTTGAACAGGCTGTTTATAATTACAATAGTTTGTATTATGATCAGTATCATTATTGTTACCCCAGGGTATTTGCTGTGTGATATATGCTGCTTCCCTGGTTGCTTTGCATTGTTATGGTGACAACACTCTAAAAGCTTTTCTGATAACAGCTTACAGTTTCTTATTTGCCATGTCAGTGGTCAGCTGTAGTTATATGATATAGCTAAAGCTTTGTCATTATCATGTTGTGTGTAGGATGGATTGGCCCATCATTGTCAAATTCTGAAATGCTATTTGATTCACCTTTTCTTGCTACTTCACTCTCTTACAGACGCCCTCTGTTGGATGATGCTGGCTCATTGCTCCCTATCGTGTTCATTACTTCATTGATAACTTATATCTGTTTTATTACATCACTGTTTGCTCTGTAGGGTTTTCAAATAAAGACTGTTAAATAGCAGTTTAGCACAGCTTTAGACTCTTCCATGGCTCAGAGCCATAGATAAAGCTGACCACTGTAGAGGAGCTGTTCAAGGGCCATATCATATCAGCTGATAAGAGGAAGCACTGTTAGAGAGGTCCCGTGCAGTTCATCTGTGCTGTTTCTAATCAGCACTACTGTACGTTCAGGACCCCCTCCTTCTTATCTGTCAGCAGCAGTTGGCATGGTGTGTGTGGTGGGTCACACACTCTGTCGGTGTGAACAGCAGCACTACGTTTGTGCATGGTAATTGTGAACAGGCCCTCTGTATTGATGGTGTGTAGTATGACTGTTACATGTGCAGTGTTATCTGCTCTCATTTCCTAGAAGCTGTGTGTTTGTAATGTTTGAGGCCACACACTATCACTCAGATATACTGAACATGTAGAAGTGACAAGCTTCCTCATCAGTCAACATCAAACAACTTGGTTTTGCATAGGGTTGGCAATATGACAGTATGTTGTTGTTATCAAGATAAATTATGTCATAAATGCATCCTGAGTATTGTCAATAGTTCTGAACAGCTGCATGTATCATAAATAATTAACAATTGTTTGAATTTTTCAAGCTTTTTATTATTTATTTTTGCAAACGTTTAACTAAAAATCTTTAGGTCTTCATAGCCTTTTTAAAATGTGATGCTAATGTTTTGCTGGATTGTTTTCACAGATCTAACTTGTTTGTAAACCTTAGAAAAACTAAATATTGTGATACTAATTGTACTTCATAAAACTGTCATCAGGTACTCTAATGGTAACATGGTTACCAGTTTCTGGCTTCCACTAGGAGCAAATGTTGCCCATTCTTTCATGCTGAATTATTTCAACTGCAATATTTGTGGCACTTCTTGCATGTACAACTTGTTTCAAATCCCCCTCAGCAATTTAGTGAAATTCAGATCTGCACTTTGACTAGACCGTTCCATAACCCTTCATTTGTTCCCTTTGAGCCATTCCTTGGTGGATTTACTTGTATGTTTGGGATCTTTATCCCGTTGAAAGGTCCACTTTTTCAGCTTCAACTTTTTGGCAGATGGCCTCACATTTCCCTCTGGTATGAAAGAGAACTCCTAGTCAATTCTATGATTGCAAGTTTGCCAGGCCCTACAGTAGCAAAGCAGCTCCATACCATGACATTCCCACCACCATGCTTTAGAGTTGATATGAGACCTTTCTGATCAAATGCTGTCTTTGGTTTTGCCAAACATGGCCTCTGGTATTGTGGTCTTTGACTCGCCTGTCCATAGCACATTGTTCCAGAAGTTCTGGTCCTTGCCTAGATATTGATTAGCAAACTTGCCCTGATGTTCTTTTAAGACAACAAATGATTCCTCCTAGCACACCTCCCATGTAGATCAAATTTGTACAGTCTTGTTCTAATGGTAGATGCATGCACTTAGATATCCACAGTGACGAGCTACTTGCAGGTTCTGTGATTAAATTTTGGGGTTCTTCTTTTAGTATCTTATGGTCTGCTCTTGGATTAAATTTGTTGGGGTGGCTTGGCCAGGCCTGGACATGTTGGCATTGGTTTTAAATCTTGTCTTCTTGTAGATGATCTTCTGGACAGCGGAATGATTGATTTCTAATATTTTGGAAACAGTTCTCAGACACCTTCTCAGAGTATATGTACATACATACAGCGGTATACTTCCTTTTTCCACATAAGGAAATTGTATTTCTGTTTATTTCAATTGTGTAAAGGATGAAAAAAAATTTTTTAGAGGTACTTGTTAAATTCTGTCACCTTTATCAATGTCCAGACATGCTGATAAAGTTAAATCATTTCACAGGGTGTTCTTACTTCTTCACATGACTGAATAATACTTTTTTCACTGCGTTAATATAGGCAGTGGGGCCACAGCAGTAGTCCAGGCTGCTCTCTGCGTCCCTCGACAAGAGCGTGTTGCCATCAAGAGGATCAACCTGGAGAAATGCCAGACCAGCATGGAAGAACTACTGGTAAGGCCTGATAAATCCTCAATAATAGTCCTTTAATCTCTGCCTCTGCCTTTTATGTACAATAACAGACACATGCTATTTTGTTTGTCCAGATTTCTTTTTTCTTCTCCCTGTACAGAATCCTCTGTGTGCTGCACAATATTAGCTTAGAGTACTCAGCAGAGTTGATGGTATTCAGATATAACCGTTTAAAAGTCACAACCAGAGCTAGAATATGTGGGTCACAGCTTAATTCACTGTCATTTATGAATGAAATGTCAGTAGCCATATGAATTCAAACACAAGTGGTAAATAGAGATGACAAGAATCTTTTGACTTTTTCTGTTGGTTGTGTGTCCTCTGTCTCTGCTGTGTGCAGTTGTTGGTGTTTCATGACATTGAAGGTTAAAGTAGAACTTAAAAGTAGTTTCACCAATAATCATTTCGACACCGTATTCCGCGTTAAAACATATACCCTCGAGAATGCACAATAAGCATAAAACATATACCCAAAGAGATTGACCAATATTAGCAGAAAATGCTGGATCGGGTATTGAGGGTAGGGGTAGGGGGATGGATCCACTGAGCCACTTACATTGTGTGGTAGTGTGTTTGAGTAGTTTGAGCATATTAGACTACTTTTAGATGTTCATCATAGGTAAGTGTATTACAAATAGCTCGTTTTAAAGTTTAGTAGTTTTTAAAAGAAAATTATTGGTTTAGTATCCATCAGTACACAGAGTTTCAATATCGGTATCAGAAAAGAAAAAGTCATATCGTGCCATCTCTAACTCTGATGCTTTTTTTTAATCAGTTTTTTTTTGTAGGAATTGCACAACAGTCTGGATAAAGTGTAAATTCTGAATGGCGGTGAATGATTCTTAGCTGCCAGTGGCTTGTGATAATTTTTAGCCATAATTTCAGCTCCACCAGACCCATTAATGTCATCTATTACATGGAATTTATCAAATGTCAAATTATCAAAAACAAACATCATAACTTATACATAAGAAAAGCTAATTAAACAAGAAGAGGAAAAAAGAGAAAAAGTACAATATGATGTATATAACCAAAGTACAGCTATAAGGTCATGCTTCTTTGTCTGAAGGGACTGTAAAAGACTGTGAAAGACTGTAAAAGTATGACAGAAGTACCTTCTAGGTATCATTTTCAATCTTGCCTAATGTTTTATCTAAGAAATCATGTTTCGGTCTTAAAACGGAATTTTTCAAATTTTTATAATTCAGTCATTCAGGGCAATTTGATATTAAATCGTGCATTGTAAACAAACTTACTCACTGAGATTTCTTTGCAGTGGTGCTGATGGGATCCAGTGTTTGCAATGCCTACAACACAAATCTAACTATTTTGTTTACTATCCAAAACACCAGTGAAGACATGCCTTCTGTTTTTAAAATGTAATGTTGGTAAAATAGTTCTATTTTGTCCTATAACACACTGCATGAACAGCTCCACTAAGAATGCATTTAAAAAATGCATTGGCCAAAATTATTTCCAAAAATAAAGCCATGTCTTAAGCATGAGGCAGTGTATGCATAACATAGCATATTTCGTCTAATAACTTTCAGTGAGGTAGCTTTTAGAGGCATTAAGCTCTTCAGACGTCTGGTTCCTGTCACTGCCACTGTGAACAATTTTGACAAGTTTTTCTAGAATTGAACATATTACATCAAATTTCTCTGAATGATTTTGGTTAAATCATAACCATCTAATTATGCTGAATTAAGGAAATTAATGAAAAGTTAAATATTAAAGGGAACAAAACAACAGGCATATGCAAACACACGCACACGCACACACACACACACCCACACACACCCACACACACCCACACATCAGGGCACTTAAACTGACACTGCCATGATTGAGTTGTTTTCCATTGATTCTTTTTGTTTTGGTGCTGTGAGCCTGGAGAGAGATGGTTTGATGAATGAGTCTTCTGCTGCCAGTGTGCTTTGTGAAGACAATAAACATTTCTATTACTGGCAAATCAGCAGATGCAGATGGGCTTGTATTAATTTCTGCTGGACCACTTTAAACAGCCTGCTAAAGGCATGGTGATAAATGTTAAATGATACAGGGTGTATGTTTTCAGTGGCAAATCTTAAGAACACTTGTGAAGTTTAATGGACAGAGAATAGCTTAGATCTAGACTGAACGTAGGCTAAATGACTGTATATCCAAGGATTTGGAGCACTTTATTTCATTATCTAGAGTAGAGTCTTAACTCAATGCGTTCTTTCTTCTGTCTCAATTCAGAAAGAAATCCAAGCAATGAGCCAGTGCAACCATCCAAATGTAGTGACCTATTATACCTCATTTGTGGTGAAGGATGAGCTTTGGCTGGTTATGAAACTCCTCAGCGGAGGTAAGAACCTTTTTAGTATTTAATAGTTTTTATCCATTTTTATTTCCTCTTGTGGAGTGGTGTTCCCTCTGAGTACCACTAGTGATCAGCTTCTGCACTAATCTTTTTGAACTGTAAGTCAGAGAGCAGCAAAGAACACACACACAGTTTTAAGAGAACTAAAAAATTCCTTTGCAGTGAGAATCTTCTGGTGCTGTAGTGACTACTAGTCTGGGAGGATATGGGCTAAAATGTGCCTTACACAGGAGCATGTGAAGCCAACCACCACACATGCACCATCATAGCAGTTCAACACACTTGGAGGACAGTACTAAGTACTTAGCTCTCTCTGTATGACCTGGACACCCTAACTGGTGCAGCTCCTTCACTTGTGCACTGCTAAGTATGCTACTTAAGGGGAACCTATTAACTAATAGGGATATTGTGAGTTCTTATCAGACTGTATGAACTGACTAAAGGTTTAACAAGTGTCTTGCTGTGTCTTTGAGCTTTTTTGAATGGATTCCAGGCTTGATCACCTGTTGCTTTTTGTATTCAGGATCAGTGTTGGATATTATAAAGCACACATGTAGCAGAGGCGAGCACAAAAATGGTGTTTTGGATGAACCCACGATAGCTACCATTTTAAAAGAAGTTTTAGAGGGTCTTGACTATCTGCACAAGAACGGACAGATTCACAGGTAGGAGTCTGCAGTTAATTATTTAATGCTAAATGGACACATACATATCACTGTCAGAACAAAATCTTGTAGCTCCATGTTTGGTACTTTATTTATTTTTTATAAAAGATAATTTGAAAACAGTTTAATTCAAGATGTATTTATATAGCACTTTTTACAATGGCATTGTCACAAAGCAGCATTTCAGAAACCCCGAGAGTAACCACGACTCAAAAAGGAAACCGATCCTAATCTGGTCAACACTGAATAGCAAAACAATAATACAACAAGAGCAAAATGAATAAGGGATCAGGTTTGATAAATAATATGGGATATGTATGTGGATGGAAGTATTCAGATTAACCAGTGATAACTGATAGCTGATGACTGCTGCTAGAGGCTTATACAGGTAACAAATGAAAAATAAATCTATGAAAATTGGTCATTGTTACTGAGTAGTTACAGTGTTAGTGTTACTGTTACAGTCGCCATTACTGTCACTGACTACTGTTAGAGGCCAAATGAGAAATAGATCTATGATAAACCGTAAATACTGGTTTTCATACCCCACCTGCTCTTTATTTTAACATTTCATGATAAATGGACTAATAGATTTATAGCTAAATCACTTAGGATGAAATCTTGTTGCATTAACTTATATAAACTTACATTAAATTACCCTAAAAGTTAAGAGCATTTGTACAGTTACCATTTTGAAGATACCAGGTTTTGTTCCGGCAGTGACAATATGTTGAACTCAAAAGCTAAGATGCACCCTCTCCCTTGTCTTGTTTGTTGTTACTGAACAGAGAAATGACCCAGATATGTTTTGTGAAAATTTGACTTTAGGGATGTGAAAGCTGGGAACATCCTGTTGGGAGAAGATGGCTCAGTGCAGATAGCAGGTTTGCTTTTTTTAATGCCTCCAGCTGAGATTTTTTTTCGAAAGATTAAACAAATAAGTATTTATTCTAGTGTTCAAGTACATCTTGAAATTCTTTATAGTATATTTGTAAAAGGAGAACTACTCTCCTGTTGGAAGCTCAGTTCCAACATAGTTAGCATGCTTAAATGTATTCCCATAGTCTTTTATTATGCTGAATGGTCCAGCAGCAAACGTAATCCGGTGTAAAGTTGTATACTGTGCACACCACAATTAAGATGGGATTAAAGAATTCCAAGAACTATGACGGTTATTAATAGCTCTGTGTTAATTAAGCTTCCTTAGCTGTGAAAATGCTGCAGTAATGAGTTTGGGGAGTTGTTCTGTGTATAGCCAGCATGCTATTTATAGGCATCATGAATGAGATTTATGTTGCTTTTGCTTGAAGCACAAAGGTCATGCCAATTAACTTAAATGAAGGAGGTGGGGTTATTAAACCATTGTTTTTTTCCCTTTTTTCATTTTTTAATTACACTAAGGAAACCTTAGAGGTGAGACTGAGATGCAAATCTGTCTCAGGAAGATATTTTTCTATTGAACATAGTGATTCTCTGTTTTACTCAAGCCTTTTATCTATATAAATACTTTATCGTATTGTGTATTGTTATTATGATAAATTACATGACAGTATGCCACAATATGCTGATCTGAGCATATTGTGGATATCATCAGTACTTAAATATATCATCCCAAGTGCGTTTGATTAAAAAGAGATCATAGTTAGTCCTGTTTAAATGAATTTAGTGCAGTGCAGTGAGAAATGTTCATAGTTTTTTATAGTACTTTTAAAATGTGGCACTACTTTGTCTGTTCTAACACATCAAGTGTCAGAAAAAAAGTATATCATGAGACATTTTGTATTGTAAAAACTCCTGAATTATCATGATATTACACTTTGTCATATTGCCCAGCTCTTCTATGAACCTTTGTCCGCCCAGTCCATTCTTGTTCTCTGGGCCTCTGGGATGGATAATAGAAAGTGAATTTGTGACATAGAAATAGAGCAGAGAATATGCACTGAAAATAGGCTTGGAACAGGCATATTCCTATGTTGCTTAAGTGTGAAATGCTCCTGATGTGGGTGGTTTCCCTCCCGAGGGGTAAAGTGGCAGATCTAGTGCAGACATATTGATTTATTTTATGTAACAAGCTTTATAACAAGCACTGCTGACCTTGACTGCCATTGATTTGTGTATAGTTCAAACTAGAGAGCGTGCTCTTGAACTGGGCTGTAATAGTTTAATGTGTGGGAGAAAATCACCACTGACTTTTTCTGCTTATAGGCTCTGATTATACCTGCATGTACAGCATATAGAGTTTAGTACAGGGGCTAGGAGCGTCCTTAAACACACAACATTGTAGGAGCCATATTTATATTTTGCAGCCAAATTCCTCTTAGGTCAGTTTAGGAAAAGTGCTGAAACAAATGTTCAGTGATTCATTATTCACTCATTTATTTGTATAATTCTTCCTGCAGACTTTGGTGTGAGTGCATTTCTGGCAACTGGAGGAGATGTAACCAGACATAAAGTTAGAAAAACGTTTGTGGGAACTCCGTGCTGGATGGCTCCAGAAGTGATGGAACAGGTGAGACTGTTCATGAAGCCAGTGTCCCTGTTACCTGCATTTCCTGGGAGAGGAACAATATTACTGTTAATTTAAGCCAAAAGACAAGAGCAGTTGTTCATGTTGCTCATGATTTAAGCAAGTCAAAGTTTATATACTCAACTGTTTTGCCTTTTGACAATGTGTTTTAAGTTTACCCTCTGAATTCATATGAATCATTTACATCAGTCTTGTTTCGACTCCAGGTACGAGGTTATGACTTCAAAGCTGACATTTGGAGCTTTGGAATTACTGCCATAGAACTGGCTACTGGATCGGCACCCTACCACCGATACCCCCCTATGAAGGTGATTGACATTATTTCCTGTATAAAATTGTATCCAAAAGTTTGAATACCCCTGGTCAAATTACATGTTTTGTTTATATTGTAAGACAAAGTAAACATTTTCTAAAGGGAACCAACTTAAATATGATGCTTTCTGCAAATTTTTGGGCACAATTTCTATTTATTGGCTGATTTTAACATAATGGAAAGAAAATAAACAAAAATATCAAATGTGCAGTAACCTTTGCACAGGCCACATTTTATGTTTTATTTTTCTATACCAATATGTTAAATCCAGCAAATAAACACTAATTGTGCTATAAAATATGCAGAAGTGCCGTCTCTGTAAAGGATGAGTACTTGTTTTCACTTAGAGAATCACCAAAATATGTCATTTGATCAGGGGCTGCCAAACGTTTGCATACAACTGTAAATGTTTTCTTCTTTCCCATGTTAAGCATTTGTAAGCTTCTTGAATAGAACATAATTCCAACTGAGTAAAAATAAGCCTGATACAAGCCTTTAAATCTGTCATGGTAATGCAATTTTGAACAGCGTTTAACTATGCTGATTTCCCCAAATTGCTTTGCAGGTCTTAATGCTGACGCTGCAGAATGATCCCCCAACTCTAGAAACAGGAGTAGAGGACAAAGAGATGTTAAAGAAATACGGGAAATCTTTTAGAAAACTAATTACTCTGTGCCTTCAGAAGGACCCCGCTAAGAGGTACTCACCTTCTTTTCTATTTATGTGGAGAAAATAAGATTTAACACTGGGGCACTGCTTGTTTACATTGGTGAACATAACTGCTTGAACTACTTGTCTACATTGGTAAATGTTTTGAGTTGTTTTAGAGTCTACAACAGCGTATTCATTAGTAAGTTCATTGATTCACTAGCTCTTTTTTGCAGTTTGCTACCATGTGATGACCAATGGAGCTCTTTCTTTATGGTTCCATTTTCTCCCATATGTTCAATCACAATCAATAGAGAGGTCCAGTGCCGTGGTGCAGAAACCCGATTAGGGTCAAATTGATACAGATGCACCCATGCCATGTAATGATTCTTTCCAAAGCAGGATCTGTGCAGTTGTAATTCCTCTTAATATCTGCTGTTATATACAGTGGGCCTTACCTGGATTGAGTGTTGTGGTTACAGAAATCTATTTTAAGAATGTCCACACGTCATCTTCACTTACGCATTTGCTTCTTCATATCTCCACAGGCCGACTGCGTCAGAACTTTTGAAATGTAAATTTTTCCAAAAGGCCAAGGTACGGCTTTATTTATTTATTTTCCTTTCCCTCCCTACTTCAGATCCCTGCCTTTACGCTTTAAAGCTGCCCGCCACCGATTTGTTTTGATCTTTTTCTCTCGTTTGCTATTGCAGAACAGAGAGTACCTGGTTGAGAAGCTGCTTTGTAAAGGACCAAATATAAGCCAAAGAGCCAAAAAGGTATTCTATTCTCATCAAACATTCCTCTGAACCATAATGGTCATCAAAGTAGACCCCATATCGCCTAAACATTGCTGTCATGCATGAGGGGTCGACCAACATAATGTCTCACTTTAAGTGTACTGCCAGTACACACTGATTGCTGCTTTTTCCATTGGGTTTAAACACTCTAACTATAGAGGCAGACCGACCATTCTTTCCAGTGATTGCATTCAGCACTTTCATGTACGTGCCTGCCATGTGAGTGTTTGTATTACTTTGGCTGAACTTGGAACTTAAAATTAGTGATTTTTGACTGTTTTTTTATCAAAAAGGGAATTATATTGATGTTTTAAAATTGCTGCGTATTTCTATCATTGAGATGTAAACAAAGTCATTAAGTGGTAATCAAATACTGATTACAGCAAAACTTTCACAGTTAATCACAGCAACAAATGCTGAAACTAAAAAAACCCTCAGTCTCTGATTACAGTGGTATGACATAACATTTACATTTGCGGCCTTTAACAGAATTTCTTGACCAGAGTGCTCTGTTGTGCTTTGTTGTCTACTTGGAAAATGTATATCCTCATGAGTGTTTTGCTTATAGGTTAAAAAAAGACACTTAATGGCCAGTCACAAAGATAATAATAACTTTACATAGGCTTACATGATATGAGTTAAAATTTTATAGACCCTGTCTCTGGTTGCCATTTCTGAATATTGACAGCAGTATAAAGTCAATATGACTGCAGTATATTTAGCTGTATTTAAAGATCAAACATCTGCCTGTACTATACCAAATTTAGTTTCCTCAGATCTTGTTCATTCTGCAGTCTAAAGAGGGTGTAAATCATTGTTAGCCCTTCAACTCTGGTTGTGTGGATTCCTGACTTCAAGGTGCAGGAGTGTCAACAGCAGAGGGCGCAGTGAAACAGATGTGCAATGAAAATTGGAGCTTTCAGACTCTGTAGCTGTAGAAACTTAATGCAGTGCAGAGAGACACTTTATAACTCAGAATAATCCAGGGCTTACTTTTGACATTGGAGACAATAAAAGGCGAGTAAAAGGCGGCTGCAGCGTGAAGTCCTGTGTCGTGTTAACATGGTAGATCCAGACTATATAAAAAGAAGAGCAGATCTGCTGGCCTGGCTTGAGTTGCTGATAATTTTGTTGCAGAGATGAATATGAATGCACAATGATATCTGAGTCATATTGGCATCAGCAGATATTGGCTTTAAAAAATGTATGACTTCGGACAGATGTTTAAATTTGACCGATGTTTTCAAACCAAACTGTATTTATTGTACTCCGGAAGAGTAGAATGTTTAGGCGACACTGCTGTGTCTGCACAATATAGTTATAAATTGTGCAATAAAGTTGTTGGATGTGACGATGATATGAGAAATGATAAAATATTATTCAAGTAGTCTGAGTCTGGCTAGATGTACCACAAGTACAGACATTTCTTGCAACAGAATCTAACTAACTTCTCTTTTAAGCAAATAGCAAAAAAAACAACTAAATAAAATACAAAGGCACCAACACTATTGTGAAAAATAAAAGGCTGAATAACGACACACCGTGTTGCTGATGCGAGCATCAAAAGGCATTTGGCTGCTAATGGCACCCCTGTCTGGGAAATTTGTAGCCTTTGAAATGTAAGAGAGGTCCATGAGGTGCTTCAGTCTAAAAAATGTTAGGATTCCCCGAGTAGCTTTTTCTGTTCGTGCTTGCAGTCAGGCTTGCAGTTTTTTAATCCTTTAAAAAGTTCCGTATGATGATGCAGATTTGTTGTGACAGTAGCCATTACTGGCTTATACATTTTACCATATAGTTGACATTTTAAACACTGAGAGTGAAAATAGTCATCCTGTCTTAATCATTTTTGATAGGCTAGTAGTTCAGGATGGAGTAAATTTTGAGCTGGGCATGTGTGTTTTGTAGCTGGCTGTTTAGCCAGGTGCTTACGTCACTTGTTATTTGACTCAAAATAGTAGGCACAAAGCTGGGGATGTTGCTGTTTTTTGCATTTCTGATTGAGAAATATCAAAATATTAAAATATCTCTGATCCAATGAATGGGGCTGTGATTGATGAAAATGTTTTGTTAGTGCTCTTAGGAGTGGCTTTACTTTACACGTGCATTCCTGCATGAGCAGTGACCTATCATGACCTGCATGGGCTTGAGTCAGTGAGTTATCCTCTGATATAGATGCCTTACCTTAATACAAAATTTGTGATTTTCTTCCTTTCTTGGGCCATTTTGACCTTCTGGCTGTTCTGCCCATTTTAAGCATTGACAGCCCCAAACCGCTGAACCTTTTTCATACCTTGTGTTGGGTGTTTTCTATAGCTTGTGCTGGCCTGTGTATGTGTGTGTAGGCTGTGAACAAATGCAATCAGGTAGGAGTCAGGAGCTGGAAAATATATCGCTCATGCAGAACGAATGCACTGTCAACTCAAGCATTCAGGAGAGCCTAATGTCTCTGGGCTCTGACAGCAGACAAAGACAAATGGGGTTTAATGCGGGCGCTTAGGTAACAGGGCGCTGCACTTAAACACGGCCATTTGCATGCTAGGCTGCTTCTTACTCTCAGCCTAACTGACTGTGAGATCTGCTGGGCCGGGCAGGACCGTTACCAGCCCTCTGTCTCTCTTTCCACCTCCAGTCCAAAAAATGACAAGATAGTTCCAGCCCCCAGTGCTTGACTCCATTTAGGAGATGGAGATACTGTCAGTGGAAACAAATGAAAAGGAAGTGACACAGATGGAAGGAAATGAAGGAAAGGTGTATTGCTTCTAGGGTTATCAATATAGAAACTAAAACAGGCACATACACACACAAACATTTTCACCTGTATTTTAAGACCAGGATGTACTCTTCAGTGATAAATGGCCTTATTGTAACAGAGACGGGAATAACCTCACTAGCGGACACTTAAAATTCCAGCTTGAATGATACAAATGGATTACTGTATGGCCCAGAGTTATATTTAGAGCCTGTGTCATAAAGCTAAAAGCCCCGTAATCACCACACCATTGTAATGTTGTGGCATAATTGACGTGGATGATGTGTGATGGCTTTCTACGTTCCTCCGGAGGGCTTTGAGAAAACTGTTCCTGCACTCAGTAATCGACTCCAGTCAGTGAATTAGCATTAGCATAGAAAAAGAAAGTAGAAAGCTTCCAATTGTTTGGGTGGGATAGAGCCTATGAATACTTGTTAAATTTGACAGCAGTTGCAGTCACTCCAGCTTTAGTATGCAGTGATGGGGACCTTTGGGAAATGCAGTTCTAATTGCACCACTGAAAAGTTGATTGTGGCACCACAAGTGAGTAATTGGAATTGTAAGTAGACAGTGCTTTTTTGGAAGTAATTGCTTGCAAAGTGTCATCAACTGAGACCACAGCTGTGCGTTTTTATTTCTTTTGCTGCTGTTTGTGGTATTGCCGTTATGACAGAGAATTTCAAAGCTCATACGTATCACAGTGAGGTGGACTTTTTCAGCTTGAGCAGTATATTGTTTACAAGTGTACATTGAGGGGAAACATTTATTCAGACACTTTTGGTTTTTTAAATTGATTATCCTTCAAATTTGCACACAATGTCTTTAGAATTCTGCTTATAAACAAAATGAATGCAGTCTTAAGCATAAATAAGGATATGTAAAAAAAATTGTAGGAAGAAATATTCAGACAGAAAATGAAAAATATATATGTGTAAAAGTTGCATAAAAATAAAGTTCTAGATGTTAATGCTGCAAAAAAAATCTTGTCCGAATTGCACCTGCTGTCATTAGATTTCACACAGGTTACAATCATGGTGCAATCAAGGGGCTTGCTAAAGTTCTCTGGGACACAATTATTAAACAACACTCAAATGGAAAAAACTACAGAGCCACATCGAAGACCTTAAACATCCCTGTCAGTGTCATTTGTTTGTTAATTTGCAAGAGGAAAGAGGGAAATTTAATCTCATTGGCCAAGAAACTGAATTTAAAAAATAAATAAAAAGATAGATGTTTTAACAAAACACTGAACTCATACATTCAGGCAAAATAACTCAGCATGGGTTTCTAAAAAAGGTGAAGGAGCTTGCATGGCCTAATCTCCTGGCTTGAATTGCATTGAAAATTTATAGAGGATTTTGAAATTGTGAGTCAGTCAGAGGCACCCTCGTAACCTTGGGGAATTGAAGATTACTTCTAACCATAAATGTTTTGAAGCTGAAATTGACAGAAAGAGCTTTGTAACAAACTTATGATGAGTACTTTTTCACCTCTGAATATTTTTTTGTCTGTCAAATTACATTTTTTTAAACAAATCTTTGTTGAATACTTTTTGTACAAGCACAAAGTCAAAACACATCATGTGTGTCAATTTGAAGTGGATATGTGCCCTGGAAGTGTATTAAATAACAAAAACAAAAGCGTCTAAAAACTTGCTTCCCCTGTATGTATGCGAATATGTGTAAGAGCTTCCAGTTTATGAGAAAGAAGTGAAACACTATGTCTGATGGCACTGAGTTAAATACTGTGTCATTTCAGTTTCCATGTAACAGTGTCACCTGGCCAAACAGAGCTACAGCTGTGGAACTGGCTCCTTCATTTCTTATAGCAAGTTCCATACTCTCAGGGTCATGATAAGGGGTGATTTATTGCTATCTTTTTGGGCATAGTGGATGCAACTTTTGATTATTTGGCACTACGCAGTTTAGTGAGACTGTAACAAATTCAGATGTCATTGTGGAACTTACGGCTCTATCTTGGTGAGACTCCTTCTGTGGTGATGGGTGGTTTATGTGATATTCTAAGAGTGAAATTGTGCATCCTGACATTGTAATACTGCAATACAAAATGTTGACAGTGTACATGATGGAGATGTGACAAGTGCATTGTGGACAGTGGGCATGCTATTAATTATGCCATCTAATGCGATTGTGTTGTTTTAACATGAAAGATGATTAGCAGCAGTCAACAATTCACTGCAGCAGTGTTCCTGCCTCTTAGCTCTAGTTTTATTATTAAGTTGTGAAACAACATGATTATAGTCAACATTTTCCGTAATGTTCACAATATTGTGAGAATACTGAATCATGAACTAGGGCTGCCACTATTGGTTATGTGAGTGATCAAGTAATATAGCAATTATTATTAATTTTGATGATTATTCAAATAATATGTTGCTTTGTTTTATTTTAAACAATAAAATGATAAAAATGGATGATGGTGTACACTTCCCACATTTACTACTACCTAGGCCCCCTCTAATTAAGCATGCACAAAGGAGGGTGGCATATTCTTTACTTTGTGTGTTATACAGCAAAGCCTAATATTACTGGAGTAGCCTGTTAGCTGTCTGCTAAACTGTTCAGCTTAGATCTAGTTAAACAAATACATTTTTACTTCATATACAGATGATCTATATAAGCAAACACATTTTCTCACATACCTTAAATTTGTGAGTACAAGCATGCATGCTTGTGAGGTCCTGCTGGTGTGGATTTACCCCTTTTCCAGTTGCTGTTCACAAAACCAATTTGAGTGCTAATATCTTCGGTCTGCCAAACACAGCTTTATAAGTGCCTGTGAATACTCTGTTATCATTCCAGTTGCACATTAAGTACTAAATTGATTGGTTGAAAATGTAAATTGTAATCAGTTAACTTTTTTAATCGAGTATACTCAGTATTGTGAATCGAATCGTAGGCTGAATGTATCGTTCAAACGCTGGATTCTGTTTCTGTCTGTCATTTGCATTATGTACACAGCTAGACAGTGTGTGAAAAGGGATAGCACAGGGAAATCGGTGTCATCTGAGGACTGTCACCTTGAACACCTCTGAAACCAGATCCCATTTGCTCTCCCTTTCTCTATACTTCCCTTTCTCTGACTTTGTTTAGCAAAGCCGCTGTACCAGAGTGACTGATGTAGCAGGATAGAACTAGTATAGTGCACTTATCAATTGATTTATGCACAGTAGTGATTTTCAACTTCAAAGCTGTTTCTAACCCTGATAAAATAAAGCCTGATATATCAAGAAGTGTGTACTGGTCTAATGACCTTGGAAAAGTACAGTGAGGACATAATATGGATAATTCAGTGTTTGACCTTACAGGCACAACCATTTTACGAGTCAACATCCATCTTCATACAGCTTTTTGTTGATCTTCATACAATTTGCTGGTTTGTAAGTGTTGTTTCTCTAAGCCAGCATATGCAGAGGTCATACATGAGCTTGACAGGCAGCTCTCAGCTTACACTGCAGCAGTGTCACGGCTTGGTCAGCAGGGGGCAGGTGAGTTCTTTAGTTTGGGCTCCTGAGAGCTTTTCTGTCAGACAGTCAGTCTGGAGCCAAGATGTCCAGTTTGCTTCTGCAGGACAGATGTGGCCAGTGCCTAATGAACTCATCATGGGCTATATTACTTTATGGTGTGAATTCATGAGCGATGTTAATGTTCTGTAGCAGAAGATGATGGTATTGCAGCACTTTGTTGGAGTTCCAGTGTTGCAAGAATAATGTCATCACTGTCCCTTCTTTTCTTTTACACTGAGTATTCGTGATTTGTCTGTTGTTTACACCTTATTTGTTGTGATTTATTGAGCTTGTGTATTCTACTTTTCTTTAGCTTATTAGAGGGCGACTGAATAATAAAGGTGAATAATTCACTTTGCCAACAGCCATTATCCATTTGGGTATTTTGGCACGCGAAATGCTTCTAAATCATTCTGTGTATGCGTGTGGGCCCAGGGCAGCTGGTCCTCTCATCTTATTCATACGCTCTGAGCTCGCAGATGTTGTTTGTGAGAATGAACCACTGATGTTGATTTGTTTATTTATATATTATTTTGCTGAAGGTGCCAGAGGAGAGGCTAGCGAATGCTGGCCTGATGGTGTTTCTGAAAGAGAGCATGATGCTGAGAGAAGGGTACATGTTCCTTCACTTTAGTCAAGCTTGCTATCTCCTTCTTACCTGTAGCTGGCTATGGCTATAATGTGTAGTACATTGTTTTAAGCTCAGGGGCCTTTTCTTAGATTGTGTGATGCCTTTTCTCTCCAGCTATAGTTGTTGGCAGTTCTCAGAGCAGGTCTCTCCAAAGATGCATTCAGTTTGGGTTCATGTTAAGGTTAACTGGAAAAAAAGAAAGTGTACCACTGTGTTTCCTTCAGTCTTCCCTCAGAATAAAGCTGCTCTTTTAAAACGCCAGTGATCAAATAGACGAGCCTCCAGGCGAGGTTCCATTCTTGCCTAATACACAGTGCCCCTGGCCACTATATTTCACATTTTGGCCGCTAAGAATGCAGAACCTTTAGATCGAGTGACCACTTGCCTCCGAGAATTTCTGTGCTGTTTAGAACTTTTTACATACTAAGGCTTATTATTCAGTAACTACAGGGGCTTCAGTGCAAACAGGATGAGCTATTATTAGGTTATAGAAGTGTGTAATAAACTTTGGGCCACTGGTGGGCCCTGGCCATTTCAGGGGTTAACAAACCTGTTTGCTCAGACACTGAACTAACTGACTCAAATTAAATTTTGTCAGTATTTTTTACTATAACCACTGCGATAGTTATTGTGATGGTGTGGTGACCGTAGTGGCAGTCCTTGCTTCCATTTACTAGAGTTTGCTAAGATCACTCTATGAAATAAGATCTGAAATAAAATAAAGTGTTAAATAAGTTGACATTACACTAAGAGGCCATCACTGCAAAACCTGAACAGTTTCTAATAGTGTTGTATTTAATACCTGGACACAGTGACTCTGAGTCAAGACCGAGACCTGATTAATATTTTTAAAAGGCAAAAATAAAAAGAAGAAAGGGAAAACAACTAAAATTAATTTGTGGTTCATTGTACATTCATTATCATTCATTATAAATGATATATATTCATACATAATATTTTATATATATATATATATATATATATATATATATATATATATATATATATATATATATATATATATATATAGTATTTTGTACAATTTAAAATTAAATAATATATATAGCTCAAAATTATTATTTATTTTTATTATTTTGTGGTCCAACTATGCATTGTAACTTATGAAAGCAAATGATGGCAAGTTTATTCTCTGTCTGTTCTTCTCTAAAGCATATTCAAAAGTCACCACCTAAAATCAACTGAATATAAACTAAACGAAATCCATCCATTTTTATTGTTAAATAAAAACATATTAATAGTAACATTCTGATCTGAACATACAAAGAACTGTTTTATTCGGTTTTGTTGATATTCAGTAAAGAAAACATCCACATAGTCCACACCAGTTTCCACTTAACTCAGATGGAGGCTTATTTTATTCATATTTTCTTTGTCTAAACAATGCCTGACTGTTTTTTGGAACTAAAGTATGCTTGTTAATTGTAAATACGATAAACATATTTCTGTTATTATGGTGGCCTGAGTGACCAGACCAATTGACCCTTGCTTTTGGCAAACCTATCCTACCACAGCAGAATTTAGAGAAACTCTGTACATTTAGTGTTCTGGGAGCTGCTATGTTAGAATTATAGTAAGTACATGCTGTAAGTTCTATATCTATAAGCTGCTGTTAAGACATTGATTCTAGTTTTGCTGAGATTCTGGGAAATTTCCATTGATTTTTTTGGCCCCGTGTAGCATGTTGAAAGTAACGGGTGACTAATATTTCACTCTGGCTGAACAGCTCATTTTGCACATGCCAGCAGGATTCAGCACCCTACAATGATCGTAAGACCCTAATAACTCAATGCTGCAGCTGTTCCAGTTCAGGAGATAGACAGCAATCCTATTTATTGATGGAAAAGTATGTAAGATTGGTTCTTGATGTGAATATAGACAATGCTCTCAACTGAATTAATGTCCCATACAAGGTTAATAAATGTTGAGTCGCCTCTGGCCTTTGTAAAACAGTCGGTTGTGAGGGTTCACATTGACATTGGGTACGTGTGTCCTGCTAAGGTGAGACGAGTGCCCGGATCAAGCGGTCACTTGCACAAGACTGAGGACGGAGACTGGGAATGGAGTGATGATGAGATGGATGAAAGGAGTGAAGAAGGGAAAGCAGCTGTTAATCAAGGAAGGGTAGGCTTGACCCCATTTTCAATATTTTATTTATGATGTAGTAATGACCATTTTGGCACATTCACTTACATTTTTGATGCATTTACTGACATAATATTTTTGGCACATTTGCTTACATTAAAATGTTGGCACATTTACTAACATGAAATGAAATGTGTTTGCCTTTTGCTTTACTATAAGAAGTAAACCTAAGTGTGAAATAGCACCATATTCATATTCATACATTCAATATAGTTGTTTTTCCTCTCATATCAATGTCTTCCCTAGTCTTGTAGCGGTAACCCTTTTTATTTGAACTCTGCTACATAACATCGACATAACCATGCCATAAACATGTCATGGGAGATGTCATATGCTGTCATGAGTTGTCACAAAACATTATGTCCAGTGATATTACAGTGTCATGTTAGCATTACCATTAATTGTCATGACAGATGTACTAAACATTTGATGGCTAACTAGATTATTTAGCAAAATTTTACATTTTGGCCCTTTGTTGTGAAAATGAAAATGACAGGTAATGGTAACATGACATTGTTATATTACTGAACCAAATCCATTGTGACAACTGCATATAACATGCCATAACATGTTTATTGCATTGTAATGTCAGTGTTACACAGTTCATGGATGCGTACATAGATGTGTCTTCACCAGAGGAGTGTTGTTTAGGGTTTAAAGTGGGCTTAACAAGGAGACACAATATCATCAAAGCTGAGTACTGTCTTTGATTGGTGTATGAAGAATGTATAACTCACAGTCATCTCGAGTCGGAAATAAAAATCAAACCCCCTCCACAGCAAAGCAGTCGCAAATCAGCGCTCGCTAATGAGGCTAGAGACACATTGCTTCTGTGTATTGTTTATTACAAAATGCAAATGAACCGGTGCTGATTGCACTCCTACACAAATAGCTACATCTGTCTATCATACTTTGTGGGAGAAAAAGAACATAATATAATCCTGTCTTTTAATTGCGTTTCAGTCACGGAGGGTCAAAGACGAAAACCGGGATGTAAGTAGGCCCCTTTTCAGTCATCATATAGTTGTTATCTTTTTTTACAGTTAACATATCACTGCTTGATATGTAAGACATATTTTAGTAGTTATAAATGTACAAAAATAAGATGAAAGAAGCTTAACGGACTAGTCTGTCTGACATGTTTGATCTATTGCTGTTTTAATTAACTACTCAAGCGCTGTTTTATAGTGTCATTATGAGTGTCATGGGACTGCATTGTTTGTCTGATAGACCAATCTAAATGATGTACAAATGTAACATATTTGACCGCAGTGGACAAACAAACACTAATTATTAAAAATGAGACAGGGCTCATGCAGTTTCTTCCCCTGTGAGTGTATATGTGTGTGTGCGGTAATCATGCACTCATTTTTTCTCTCACTGGATTAGAAAATGTCATAACTTTGGGCTAGGCTTTGTGGAGGTTCAGAAACCATTTCCCAACAGCTGAATAGCAAAATGGCCTCAGTGGTTTTAGAGAGAGAGAGAGAGAGAGAGAGAGAGAGAGAGAGATGGAGAGAGGTATGTCTCACTGTTCCTCTTTTCACTCTGTGCTGTCCATTTTGCCTCTGCAGGGGGAAGTGAATGCCAACAATGTCCCTATAGAAGGCCTGTCCATTCAGCATCCCCAGGTAGGGACTATGCGGAAGTGGATGTGATTTGTCTTGATTCAGTAACCTTGCTGCCCCTTGCTGAGAGGTTGTGCAGGCTGTACAGGCCTGTAGGGAGCCTTTTAGCCTTAATAACTCAGGGATCCAGAGTAGGCCTTTGCTCACTATGTCTTGGTATTACATACAGAATAGCTAGCGAGCCATTTCTCTCATCTTTCTTGTTCTTCATCTCTCTCTCTTTTTCTCTCTCACTCTAAAGCATTGCTTTTATTCATTTTTTTGGCTTATTTGACATTATTAGAAAAAAAATCTACTGTACAGGAACATTTCTGCTCATCAAGGTACAACCAATATAAATGTACCCTCAAAGGTACAGCAAAGGTCTTAAGGTTCGACTGTGTAACTTAAATAAGCTTTCTCAGAGGAAATGTACATAAATATACCTTTTTATAAGCTATAAATAAAATGAAAAAAGCCTGGAGTCATTATCATTTGCATTTTGTTTGGGAGGTTCAGTCTTAAGCCAGTTTAACCTAAACAATATTCATGCCCCATCAACACAACTCATGAAATATTGCACCAGTACAGGTGGTTCCATACTTGGGATCTTTGGATCCTAACAATTCATTCAAAGCATGGTAACCCATGCAAGCTTTACAGTCCCTGGTTTAAGTGCATGCAGGAGGATGATGTGCTTAGGCTTGTGTTGCAGATTGAACTTGCATAATGAACTCTTGAATGAATCTTCACATTAACTTAATTAAAGTTTTCTGTAAATATATTTGTATGTGGCCAAAATGTTGATGAATTTATGGTGTGGAAGTATTTCCAATAGTCCAACTGAATGTCCATTGCACCATGAACAGCTTTTATCTACACATTCATTAGGCTGCAGTCTGAGAGAGCAGATTGCTGCTTAACAATTAATGCACAAGTAGAGTCCAGGCAAAATACGGAAGGTAGATAGGAAGCTAACTGTTGTATAACAAAGCCTGTAAACATCATAGGTGGAAAGCAGACATCACAGCAAAAATCCAGCTGAGACTAAAACAAGCTACTAATAAGTTCAGACACCGCTGTAAAGCAAATACAAGCCTAAGGGTTGGTAAAGGTGAGCTCTTCACTACAAAACTCTTTACTGCTGTTTGTTTACAGCAGCCAAGGTTATTTCTGTTTGTGAGAATTGCTGTGAGACGCAGAGAGTTTAAACTGAACCCTTGGCTGGTGCCCTGTGGGCCTGTTTGGTCAGGTTTAAACACATTGTGAATTAAATGGTAGGGCTCTTGTAGAAGTAACACAACAATAGCATTTGCTGTCTTTTTTCTTTCATCATTTATTTTGTTCTTTATTCCTTTTTATTTATTAATTTATTCCCCCCCTTCAGTCTCTTTCTCTCTTTTATTTTCTAGCTCTTTAATTTCTCTCTCAAACTTTCTCAGTGATACATTTAATTATATAAAACTGCCGTGAAATGGACTCCAAGTGGCCTGTTTACATGCGTTATGAGTTATGTTTCACTTGACTGCATGGGGGGGTGGGATTTAGTCTGTTATGTTGTATAAGCAAGAATACCCAGAAGCTAACATTTATAATGAAGAGTTTTGTGTTGTAAAGTGTATTTGAAAGTTATTGTACAGGTAGGAGGCTCGGCATCGTGGCACATGGGGTAGCGCTCACAGCAAGAAGGGCTTGGGTTTGATTCCGTGGCCTGGTGACCAGGGTCCTTTCTGTGTGGAGTTTGCATGTTCTCCCCATGTCTTTGTGGGTTTCCTCCAGTTCCCACAGTCTAAAGTCAGCAGTCAGGCAAATTGGAGATGCTAAATATCCCCTAGGTGTGAAATGTGTGTGTGACTGTATATGTGTGTGTGTCTGCACTGTGATGGACTGCCTTCCGCCCATTCACTACTGGGATAGGCTCCTGCACCCTCCTTGACCCAGGAGAATAAGTGATCTGGAAAGCGTGTTTGTGTGTGTGTGTGTGTGCGTGTGTGTGTGTGTGTGTGTGTGTCTGAGAGAGAGAGACAGGAGAGGTCATTCAAAAGAGTCAGTATAATCAAACACAGCAATAATCGCGCAATCATCTGAAGGCCTACAGATCCCTTCAGAGATCAAGCAATACAATACAACAGGCTACAACATGTGATTGTCCCACAGCTGTAATGTAAACCTCCAAAAAAGTTGGAATAGTATGTGAAATGCAACAGTTATTATTTTTTTATATATAAACTACATGTTCATTCTGAAATTGATGCCTGCAACACTCTGCAAAAAAATTAAAATAGGAAATGTTCAAAAAACATATTAAAGAGATGCTGCAGTCATGCTTGGGTGTAGTAGCACTCAGGAAAGGCCTAGCCCTTTATGAGTAAGCTTAGGCTTGCCACTTTGCCAAAAAGTGTGTCAGTGAATAATCCAATTAAGAACATTCCACACACCACAACTAAATACCTGTGACCTTTCGTCCCTCATACAGCACTGCATTATACTTTAGAAATACTTTGACAAAAGTCAGCAAACACTGTTTGTCACTGCATCCACAAATGCAAGTTTAACTGTACTATGTACAATGTCCGAAAACAGTGCCGAGTTCTCTGGGCTCAAGCTCATCTAGAATGGATTAATGCACACAGGAAACATGTGTTGTGTTCTGGTGAGTTCACCTTCCAGATTGTTTATGGAAATGTTAGACATTGTGTTCTCCAAGCCAAAGAGGAAAAAGACTTTTCCGAATGTTCAAAGTTCAAGTTCAAAAGCCAAGGTCTGTCACGGTAGAAGGGTGTATTAGTGGACATGTCATGACTGCACATCTGTAAAGACACAGAATGGTATTTACACATTTTGGAGCAAAATTTGCTACCATCTAGATGATGTCTTTTCCAGGGACAACCATGCTTATTTCAGCATGACTATGCCAAACCACATTCTGCACTTGTTGCGACAGCATGGCTGCGTAATCAGAGAGTGCTTCCTGCCTGCAGTCCAGAACTGTCTCTCACTGAAAACAAGTGGCTCATTTGAAAGCACAAAATACTACATTAAAGGCCCCATATGGTTGTACAGCTGAAAACGTGTATAACCGCTTGCAGCACTGTATCAGTTGATGTCCCCAAATGATTATTATGTGTTTTTGAAATGTGTTTCATTCTTTAAATTTGAAGAGCGTAAATAAAAAAAAATATACGGTTCATAAGATAAAACATTAAATATGTTTCTGTACTTTTTTCACTTTGAAACAATTTAAAAAAATTGCTAATCACTGCTTTCTGTTTTTATTAGCCTTTCATGTTCTGTTCCAACTTTTCTGGAATTGAGGTTTGTACAGTGTTTAATACATAAATTGTTACAGACAAGAGAATGTTTAATAAATTAGGCCATCAGTATACACAACCCCCACCCCAACTTCAGATTTCATTGTTTTCAAAGGAGCTTGGGTCTCATTTGGTGATGGTAAGCTCCCCCCTGGCTCCCCTGTAATTCAAACATTGAGCAGCTTGTTACACTGGCATAGATAGTCACCACCTTGTAAAATTTAAGATGATGTCAAGTGGAGTTTAGAAGGTGAAAATATGTGCTTTTTTCTGTTAAGAAATAACTGATTTTTTTCTTTTTTTACTTCCACCAAGGTTCAACCATTGGAAAAAAACCCAAGCACTCAGGGTGCTGTGAACATGGTCCTGAGGCTAAGGTAAGCAAAGCGCTTGGTTTTCCACTCTCTCTTCATCGGGCTTTCATCAGCTCTTAAAAGATGGAAAAAGCCAGAACCACTCAGGCATGTTGGCTTTCTGAAGCGACCTAATAGCTGTGTTTTGTGCGCTAAAGAGTGTGTGTATAAGTGCGTGTGTGTCTGTGTGTCTCTTTTCAAATGATCCCTTTCACTCGGTCTGGTCGAGAGTCCATGGAGAGGAAGTGCCTAAATTTAGAGTGATATGCTCTGCTGGATGTTCTGCACTGCCGTCCACCGCTCTGGGTGGAAAATGCCCTGACTGCTCTCATGCCACTCTCCCCTCAGTTTTAAGGTATAGAAGAAAGGCCAGAGGCTGTTTTCAGATCAGTAGCTGATCTGTTGAACTGCTTTCAAATCTGCCATGCGTGGTGGCGAGCAAGAGAACACAGGTCACACATCATTCGTTTATTCATTCATCATCTAACCCGCTTATCCTTTTGGGTCGCAGGGGTGCTGGAGCCTGTCCCAGCACTCATTGGGTAGAAGGCAGGTGACACATCATATCCTTAGTAATACACTACTGCTAGAGTGAAGACAAATTCCCATCTGATTTTAAATGAGGGAGTGAACTCAAAGCAGGAAATTTAGCATGTAATTCCTTATTAGTATGCAGCTAGACTTCCTTTTTGTTGATTATTTTATTCAGATATTTTTTTCTGTGTGATTAGCCCTCTGTCTTCACATCAAAATGAACAGTACTGTATAAAAACTCTGGGTCATAACATTAACTGCGCAGCAGAATGAAAATATAAATGTGAAATTTATTAGGTTTCAGTAGGAAGTCAAAGAGATGGCAGTTTTTCCATCTTTGATAAGATAATAAGTGATATATTCAAGTGGGTCTGAGGCTTGGGGCAGGAAGAGAGAGTGAGAGAACGATGAAGAGAGGTAGGGGGTATTCTCTCTGGAGAGACCATAGTTATAGTTATTGCACTGAATTTAGATCCTCTTCATTTCTTTGCAGCTTAATGTGAGCATAATTTAAAGGCCGGAGTGTCAAGGCTAAAGCTTATAGCAGCAAATTCTCTTTAAAACCATAAATGTAGCCCATTTTAGAATTTGTTAAAAGAAAATTATGCATGCACCTAAACACATGGGAGAACAAATAAACAGGCAAAGGGTTGCACGCATATTATCACACACTCGCACCAGACACTCAAATATAATAGACAATAGTGGGGGAAAAAACAGTAGTTTATTTTTGTACTGCTTTCTCCTGCTGAAAATGGAAGAAAAATGAAAACAAACATAGAGTTGAGATTACTCAGAAGAATGTTTTTGGATAGTTGTTTTCCAGTGAAGCTAGACTTGTGGCTGTGTTTGTAGGGTGCTCTGGGATGATGTGATAACAGCTTTTGTTGGCTCCTCCCAAGGTCCCAGTCTAGTGCGCTGAGTGTGCCCACACACAAACAAACACGCTAACTAGACTTCTTTTTCAGCATACAAATCACGCACACACAAAGGTATACACATGTATGCAGAGTTTTCCTTATAAAACTCCCCTTCAGTTCACAAAGTCCCTACACTCTAAAAGAAAGCCAGCTGGAGAGGTGCTCAGGGAAGTGTGATTATTCTAACCTTTCTGTGTAAATGAATGAACTTAGCTTCCAGTTACTGTTTCTTTTCCTTATAGGTTCTCATTTACACCCCTCCAGTTCTGCCTTACTGCTTTAATCTAAAGCCAATACATGGCCTAGGCTAATGGCACTTTTAAAGCCAAAAGCTGCAGTACAGGAAAATTTCAGCCAGGGATGTGCACATGTACTTGAGTACTCATTTCACCATTCAAGGTGTCAGTATTCAGGTCTTACGTTTCATTACAGGAAGACGAAGACAATATTCACCCCAATAATTCGTTTTGCCTTAACTGAACTGTAAAACATGAAAGTTTTCCTTGTATTTGTTAGTATGTTATGTTATACTTTACTGTGAAACATGAGTGCCTTAAGTTGAGCATGTTGCCAAGGATGCATTGTTAAGGATGTGACAGAGAGGGCAGAAAGAGTATAGATTTTATAACTGTATAGGCTATGCTGGTGTCTAGAATCAGTTTAAATAATTTAAATATATATTTTTTATTTATAACTAGTATGTTGACACACCGTCCACTGAAGAGGTAAAACCCTGTAGAAGAAAATGAGTCTCCATCAACATCCAGTGTTATACAGGTTACCTGTAGTTCATTATTCATTTAGGCAGCCTCCGTTATGTTACTCATCCTATACGAAAACCTCCTGATTTCCCCCAGCTCTTTATGAATAATAAAACCTGTTTTGAAGTGTATCCCTCTACATGATGCTAAATAGGGCATCTTTACATCAGCAATGCCTAAACTTTTTGTCTTGGGGACCTAAGGGCAGTATTCCAGCAATAGGCCACGAGAGGTTACTGTTACTGTGATTTTATCATGGTTAAGGGGTATTCTCAAGCATGATGCACAGCTTTACAGTGAATTGCTCAGTAAATACTTCAGTTCTGAATTTTTCTTTCCAAAAAAGCTGAAGCACTCCTAATTCTACTCATGAATTTAGTTGGTCTGTCTTTAAACAGCTGAGTATGCATGCAACACCATTGCCGTTAATTTCATGTTAATTTCAGATGAAATCAGTTTTAACATTTTTTTTTTTGTTTGTTTGTTTTTAGTTTTTTTCTCGAATATTAGAATTAGTTGGAATGCAAAACCTTAATTTTGTGATCAATGTCTACAGTAGGGCTGCCTAAAGGGTGGCCTGCAGGGCAAAGTTGGCCCAGAGGATGTTTTATTTGGCCTGCCAGAATGTTACCCAAGCCCCTGCCTCATCCAATAAAGAGTCAGGGTTTTATACTGTAAAGTATTACATTCTTATCTCCCTTTAACAACCTGAATTTTGAAATTCCTTAACAACAGAATATAGTGTAATTTTTTAAAAACGCATCTTGCCTTCTTTATTTGCAAATTGTTTTGTCTTTATTAAACAGATATTTCTGGTCTTAAAATCAGATTGAGCTGCATGTGAAGCTGCTGTAAAAAAAAACCAAAAAAAAACCCTGAATACGTGCACACCAAGTGTGTGAGATACCTCCTGGTATTTAGGGTGTTCCACGTCCATGCTAGCTTCAATAGCAACAAAATGTTTAACAATTCTTTCTTTGGAAATGCATGTTTCCAGTTTGGTAATGCAGTCTTCCACACATTAATGGAGATCTTGCACATCTTTTTGTTCTCAGTTTAAGAAATGAGTAACAATTCACTGTTTTCACCAGTCTCTTGGGAAATTGGGCAAGTTTTCAGATTTACAAATGTACATCAGCAAACTGTAAAGTTATACCGGGCATAGTTACTGTTGCTAGGCTGTGAAGAACCAACTGGGTGAACCAGTTTGCTACAGCGCCACCCTGAGGTAGACCAGTGCAGCATCTCTAGTTAGTTAATAAACTCTAGTTAGTTAAGAATATTAAAGATGGAAGCTCACCAATTGTAGGTGAAGCAGCATATATATATATATATATATATATATATATATATATATATATATATATATATATTTGACATATTTGAAAATGTCCCTTACATTGTATGTAAATTTCATGAAGAATGGACCAAATGGTTAATTAGGGGGTTGTGAACAACTTAATTCTGTACTAATGCATCAAGGCACTAAAAACCGTTGCGCTCTGAATCGACTGCTTGCTGCTTGCAAGGACCACCAAGTGTACTGATGAATTAAGAACCCAGAAGCAATGATCTGCAAGATCTCGCTTCGCAGCTTGGGGCATCATGCGATAGGGGGAATCCTAGGTAGTGGGTGGGAATTTGGAGAAAAGTTGGGAATACATTAGAGGCTACTGTCAGAGATAATTTGAAGGGCAGTTTTAGAGGGATTATGTTAGAAGTGTGGTGGGAGTTAAGTGAATAGTTGAGAGGAACCGTAGGTTGCTTCATTGATATGCAGTCCTTCTAGAGTGTTTGTTTTTTCTGCTATATCTGATAGAACTCATCAAAGCTTTGATAACTAGCTGATAAGTTGAATCAGATGTGGGAAGGTAGGAAAAACAGTAAACACTGCTTAAAGTTTAGCCTGAACTTCTGTAGTTCATAAACACGCAAAACACCCTTTGCTGATATATGAGGCCCGGCTTAAGATGCAGTATGTAAGTATGTTATACTGTTATATGAGAGTAACAATGTGAGCTGGGCCTACATGCTATTTGTCTCATGCTTTGGCTTGTTTTGCTTCATTAGATCTCATAATGATAGACTCTATCTACACATCAAATTCCATCACATACAGCAGACACTATCACGACTCGTACTTCTCTTATCAGGCCTGTTCGCTCTAAAGGCATTTCCACTCCCATAGCCGTACAAATCATGCTCAATGGGTTTCACTGAGCTCTGTCAGCTCCCATTACCCGTCACGCCGCTGTTTGGCCAATCGCTTTTGACGGTTTTTGTGTAGAAATATGATGTGGATGTTTCCGTACCTCCTGTCTATGCGGGGATCATATGCAGAGCTGTTTATTTGCTACTAGTGTATAAGCAGCCTTTTTTATGCAGTAGACGGTTGACTGAGCATCACATTACATTTGATGCGCTCCAGTGATACCTTTTTGTGGAGGGTGAATTACATTAGTCGCATTTCACAGATCGGGGATCAGCTGGAAGCTGGGTTTTTTTGACAAGTATTTGTGCCATGCAGTGCTTCAACCCCACTGCCTTCATTGTAGACATGGTGTAGACACAGCCTAGCGAGGGACAAAGGTATTATGATGATGACAGTAAATAGGGTGCTTCGGTGTAGTGCTTGACTCAGCATGTAGACCATATATACCAGCATCAGGATCTCACATACTACTCAGAATTAACCACACTGGGGCCTGGAATTTCACTTATGGGTCACAAAATGACTTCAAATCCCTGTTTCCTAATGCTTTAATGGTCACTTTCCCAGACAGGGATTAACCCTAGCATTCTAAATGGA